TTTCCACCTTCCTTATGATACCTTACTATTGGGCAGTTTGGCTACGACTAGACTATAGGACTAGTGCCTAGTATCTATCACTGCAAGGGGGGGTTGCAATAAATAAATCATCTCTCCATGAATAACTGATACAGTGACATGACTGAAGCAATTACTCTGCCAATAATACTCTCACAGAGTTCAAATGAGTATCACTGACAGTGTGAATGAACATCTGCCATATACAATGTGCCCCTGTACATAAAACACATGAAAATAGCAACTGAAAGACTTATTGATGTTGCCATGATAACAGAAAATGTTTGACTGAAGAAGACTTGAATATATATTGTGGCTCATATGTGACCCCAGTTAGTAGTCATGTAGAAAATATAAATAAAAGATTAATGCAACCTCGCCTGTCCAGAAAAGAGGTGAACTGCATAAAAATATACACACATGTTGATTGTAGAGATAGGTACAAGAATAATATGGTTAAGGCCACAGTAACCAATACATAAATAAGACATGATTGTGGTTCAACAAGTAACCACAGGAACAGTTCAAGTAAACAACAGTATCACATGTCTGGTGATAATCTTCACACAGCAGCACTCATAATGCAGGCACTCTCAACAGCTATCAAATAATATTACAAGCACATGTAGTAACACTGACACTGTCAACAGCCATGTGCAGACACTGAGAGTCAATAGCCATGTGCAGACACTGTCAGTCAACAGCCATGTGCAGACACTGTCAGTCAACAGCCATGTGCAGACACTGTCAACAGCCATGTGCAGACACTGTCAACAGCCACACGGACACTTACACTGTCAACAGTCATGTGCAAATACTGACACTGTCAACAGCCATGTGCAGATACTGACACTGTCAACAGCCATGTGCAGACACTGACACTGCCAACACCAACACAAGACAGCAATATATAGACACTGGCAACAGCAATACCATACAATCTCAGCAACATATACAGACAGTGACGTTGTCAACAGCAATACCAAACATTCTCGGCAATATATACACACAGAGACACTGTCAACAGCAATGCAAGACACAGCAATATATAGACAGTGACAACAGCAATATCATACAATCTCAGCAAAATATACAGACAGTGACACTGTTAACAGCAATACAGGATAACCTCAGCAATATATATATAGACATTAACACTGTCCAAATCCACACACAGAGACACTAACATTGTCAACAGCCACAGACCCAAACCCCAAGACTTTCAACAGCCACATATAGAGTCTCTGACAGTGTTACCAACCACATATACATACCATGTATACAGACACTAACACTGTCAACAGCTGTCTACAGCCGCACAGATGCAACAACATTGTCATCAGCTATCAACTGCCACACATTGATACAATCATACTGTCAACAGTATCAACAATCAACAGACACACAGTCATACTTCAGTGACTTACAAACTGGAGATGGTGTTCGTTATCAGGACAACCAGGTATCAGTTTCTGCAGTGCAGTCTACATCAGAATATAATGATTTGCAGCTCTAAGCTACAGAGTAACCAGGTCCTACATAACAGTACCCTTTGACAATTTTTTTCGAAGTCTTTTTTGGTTTTTATTGACAAAACCAACTACAGTCCTACTGTTCAAACAATATACTGAGGGCATTTATTACAATGAAAATAGTTACTAAATTCCATTACAAACCCTCATCTGTCTATCAATCTCTGCTATTGGCACTAGATCACCCTCAGTTACATCCTCTTAGATAGGAGTCAGAAAGTTTATACAGATATGATGGGTACGTGAGTTTCTTGTCCCTTTTATAGAACTGCAACATTCAATGCTGTGAGGTGAGGTGAAATGGGGTTTAACGTTGCGTCCAAGATTATTGCACTTATAGAGCGACGGGCATACACGTGTGTGTGCGTGTGTGTGGCTGCTTGTACTAGTCCGGACCGATGCTGATTTATAGTGCTAGACTACTGAGATATCATGCCGCAGTTTAACATGAATACCAACACTCAGACACAGTACACTGACTCCGAGCCGACCAGTCTGTGTTTTAGCCCCTTAATGCCGAGTGCCAGGCAGGGTAACAACAAGTACCATCTTTTAAAGTCTTTTAGTGAGACACGGCCGGGGATTGATCCCCCGACCTTCTGCTCTCTGGCAGACGCTCTACCACAGAGGCAGTCCATCAATGCTGTTAGCCCTGTGTGACCTAGGTTTTGTTTTGTTTTGTTTGTTTGTTGTTCAACGCCACACTCAGCAATATTGCAGCTATATGATGGCGGTTTGTAAATAACTGAGTCGGGACCAGACAATCCTGTGATTGACATCACGAGCATCAATCCACGCAATTGGGATCGATCATGACTTAGGTATTATGTGCCCCTCAGTTTTCAAAATCCTGAACCTGCCTATGTATTGTACATATGAAACTCAGCTCTCAGCTGCAACAACCAACCGCTTCCACCACAAGGCCACCATGCTGCTCTGAGAACATTCATAATATACATCATGGCCCATGACATACTTTTGTTCCATGCAGATACCCAGATAAATGATTACATTGAAAATAACTGTTGTACATTTAAGAAATTATCTCTGTGGAAATATGAGAGAAAAAATTATAGATATAGAATGAATTCAGATCTTTTAAAAATGTTCTGAAATGTGGCAGTGTATACATGCTCTGGATACAATTATTACATTAGTGGACATTAGTTACTAGTGACCAGTGACCAAAGGTTGTGATGTATGATGCAATATTGGAATATACAGCATATATTGAATAAGGAAGCTGTTACATAGGTTGCTGATTGAAATCTGTATACAATGAATACCCTGTACAGCTGTGACCTCCATGTTCTGTGACAAAGAAGTTCAAACACTTAACCATACTGAGACTAGAGGTAAATTTTACACATAATGCCTATCATCATAATCATATAGTGAGTTTGGGTGAACGCCGCTTTGAACCGTATTTGTCAGATCACAGTGTGTCAGCTTAATGTGGAGGAAAGCCTGAGGTGAAGCAGATCTTGTATTTTTATACTACTTTGATGAAACCCACAAGCACGGGTATGGTGCTGACAAACCTAGAATATATAATCAGGATGAATCTTGCATTCTAACCCATGATCGCAGGTTTTAGGCCCAAGGACATAACTCTGTATCCACGATTTGATGAAGACATGAACAACTTTAAACAGAAACATATTCATCTTTTAACCAAATATTTTCACATTTTGTTCAACTTAATACCTGGAAACATAACCAGGGTGAATCTGGGAGTTGGGTCCTGACACATCTAAGGGACCTAACTCAGCACAGCAAATTACACAAATGGGCCACCCACTATGTACATGGTCGCCTACAACTCATGATTGAGTCAGATCCTCAAATCTATATCATATCCTTATGTCAACTGCATATTTTACCATGGCACTATCACAAGTATATAAATAAGTTCCATCCTGCATCTAGATCACCTTGCTACGTGAAAACCTGATCCCAGTGAAGACTCAAGGACAGAGACAGTTAAGTCAGACTACAGGACAGAATCAAAGGAACAAAGGTCAGCTTCAGGACCACATGATCACCCAATGATGTCATATGAAATGTACATGTCCGACATGAATTAGACAATCTGACACAGATCATAGACTTGCCATAGGTCTATATCCCACTCAAAAGTAATTGACTAACCGATTCTTTCATATAACCATAGTTATCTGTCATGGCAATCTTTCATATTACATAGTTAATAGTAATATAAAAGAGTTGGTGGTCCTTAACTTTTCTTGAGCAGTATATACATATATCGAACAAGAGGCCCTTGCTTCTGACCTTTAACTAAAGATGGCTTCTATTATTTTCAAGTGATATATGCTGTAACATATACTGGCATAAGAGGCAGTGAAGACGATTGTCAAGGAAGGACTGATGTAAGAATGGCAAAACAAGCATGGGTAAGGTGTCAACAGACCAAACACTAACATCATGACAAAGGGACTGCAGAGCCCTTAGACTATTGACAACACATGCCCCTTCCTCTTTAACAAGGACTGTGTCCCCCGCCATGATATTGCTGGAATATAGCTAAAAGCGGCATAAACCTATACTCACTTTCTTACCTAACAAGGACTGTGTCCCCCACCATGATATTGCTGGAATATTGCTAAAAGCGGCGTGACCTATACTCACTCACTCAACAAGGTCTATACTGCAAAGTTCTAGCAAGCTTAAAGGGAGACTACTCTCTGGAGTCTGCTGTCCATCTTCAGTGTAGGTCTAGATGTTGCTATCATGTGTGCCTTGTGTGAAACTGAGATACTGTTTCCATATAATGGCTATCATTTATTTGTCAATTGTCAGGATCATACAACTTGACTGAGCAAGATCTGTTTAAATGTGACAGCATCCAGCATTCTGTTTATGGAACTCTTGTGTACTACATTAAGGTCTTGTGACACCTATGAAAATATTTACGACAGGGTCCTGCGATCGTTTCACAAAGGTCTCTCACCACACTCTCAGCTAAGGCAAACATTACTTTCCACTAAAAACGTGCCGTCTTAACCTTTGCCCTGTAATCCATGTAGTAAGGCAACACACTCAGCCCTTTTCTTGTGATTTAGGACAGTTTGGATAAATACTACCATAAGTTTTATCCTAACTTTGTTAAAGTATTGTATTCTTAAGACAGTTTAATAAAACATAGTGTTAACTTTAAGAGAGGGATGATCTAAAGGTTATGAGACCCTAGGCTTCCAAGAGCTGGGCCCTGGACTGCCAAATGACTCGAGAAAAGTCCCCCTTTAATCAGACATACACACAACACACATCTGCTATGATTTGGTTGGTTTGTTGTTTAACGCCGCACTCAGCAATATTTCAGCTATATGACAGCGGTCTGTAAATAATCGAGTCTGGACCAGACAATCCAGTGATTAATGTCATGAGCATCGACCCATGCAATTGGGATCGATGACATGCATCAACCAAGTCAGCGAGCCTGACCACCCGATCCCGATAGTCGCCTTTTACAACAAGCATAGTCACCTTTTACAGCAAGCATGGGTTGCTGAAGACCTATTCTACCCCGGAATCTTCACGGGTCACATCTGCTATGAGATCAATCTGGCCATGATGTACTACCCTGACTACCAGTGGTTCACATTACATCAAACTGCCAGTCTACTTAATGCAATGTCTAGACCTAGACTGCAAATGCACTTTAGGTGGTGGAGTCTGTCTCATAAAATTCAAAGACAACCTCAACAAAGGCTAGGGGATTGAGAAATTCAAGTGTCATTGATTTTACAAGAGTTCATTGGACTATGGCAGTCCTGACAACTTTTACATATCCGGGTAGGAAACGGTGTCTGAAATATTCTAGTCCACTGAGATATCATGCCTTAGTTTTTAACATGGATACCCAACTCAGAAACAGTATACTTACTCCGAGCTGACCTGTCATTGTTCTTCCCCTTAATGTCAAGCGCCAGACAGGGTGACACCATTTACCATCTTCTAACGCCGATTGGCATGACATGGTCAGGGAATCAAAACCATTGACCTTCTGCTCTCATGGAGCATTATTCTTACACAAAAAAATCCAACACAAAAATATGTCATAGAAGCTCTGATTACCTTGGACAACAAAAGCAAATATAAAACCATATCCATTTTTGGAAAGAAAGCCTATAAATGATAAAACAAATTTTATATGATCAAAATTCTGAATATAAGAGTAACAATCTGTGAATGTCTGAAGCACCATACTCTAAAATGTTAATACAGAAAAACATTTCTTTATCATGCTTTTTGGGCACACATAGCTGTTCATGCTCATCATCATCATCATCATCATCATCATCATCATCATCATCATCGTCATGACCATCATCATCATCATCCTCTCCACACATCACCAACACTTAATGCTAATGAAATAAATTATGATGACCAATGTCAATATGTAGAAATGACGGTCATGTGATACAAAATAGATGTTAAACATAAATGGACCCTCATGACTGTAGATCCCTATGCAGACAACATTTTGCAAATTCATCGCCTCGTCCTCTCATTAGAAAACAAAACATTCTGGCAAATTACCTGGCAAGAATATTTCAATACCTCATCATCATCTTTGGCAAATGTTTGGTGTGGAGCTGTTCTAGTTACTATAGTAACATGACAAACAAACAGACAAAACACATGACTCTAAGAGCGTTTTCACAAACAGGTACCCTTAAACATGTTAAACATAGATAAACATCAGCATAACTCTAATTGAAGCTTTTGGTATCAGCTGTAAAAAAAAATTAAAGACTATTTTTGAAACCAGCTATACAGAAAGTCATTGGAGCTAGGCTCACAAATCCTTTTAAACATTCTAGCAATAATTGTCCTGATAAACAACAGGTGCTAACACCTGTGACACAATGACCATGACTACCGATACTTCTTTTCCTCCTCAAGGCCATCTACCGGTGACGACATGTCAACATTGTCCATTTGACTCTCAGAGTTGCCGCTCCTCTCGACAGCAACAACAGTCTCTGGTTCACTAGGTGCTGTGATGTCATCAAACACAACCTGGTGATTATCACTTTGGTTCCCTTCCTCAGCCCCTACTAACACTTCCTCATTTTCATCATCCTTCACTTCATCAATAACAATTTCTTCCTCTTTTTCCCCATCATCCGAGCTTCTCGTGTGTCTTTGTTTAACGAACAATGAACTGTCACTTCTACACTGTCTTAGTGTCACATGATTATCAGGAGGTGATAACGTCCAATCAGCTTCATCGATACAATCATCATACAAGCCATCATCTGGTTCTGGCGAATCAGCAGGCTTGACACAGTCTACAGATGCTGAAGATGAGAACATGTCACTGGCCACTGTGGTGGCAACAGGGGGGGTAACTATGTCTGGTTCCGGTGAAGGGGAACTGTCAGGAGTGGGGCTACTCTCGAACCCCTTATTGTACTGTCTCTCCTTATTAGGGATCTTCTGGGAATCTACTTCTTGAGACTTTCCTGGTTTCTTCAATTTTGTTTTCTGCTGAGATAATAACCTTGATCCATGCCCCAGCAGCACAATGCTCGTGAAGACTTTTAATGTTAACAAGCTGAAAAACAAGAAGACATTTTGTTATGTGTATTACATCCTAAGAAATTTGGTTGTGTTTTCAAGGCTAGTACAGAGGAATCACGCAAACCTTTTTTCAGTAGCCCTCAAAGTTTGAAATGTTTACTAAGTTTACATATAAGTATAATGTCAGTTTTATTCAGATCCAATTTGAACCATTGAGAACTGGTTCGCAATTTTAGCCCTCAAATGTCAATAAGGATGACCATCCCTGGATTTTTACTTGTCCTCAGCACAATTTTGTTGTCTCAGGCTAACAGGCTAGTGTGAATTTCGAAGGTTACTCTTTGGAGGTTGACCGTTAACATCATATCATCATCATCATGATCATCATCATCACGATGATCATTACAATCATCACGATCATCATCAAATGCCCAATTTAGTGGTGTGGGATTACAGGGGGCAAGAATACTGAATACCGGATACCTTCAGCCATATTGGAGAAGAATGTGTGCGAGCCCCCTTCCTTATTAACAATTTCTAACATTTTTTGCAGCCTCACTTAAGTAACGGGGGAGGTGCTTGCCCCACTCAATGACTTGAAGTAAATACAAACCGTCATTTTAGTTTTACAGGTTAAAAAGAAATATGTATTTGATGAAATGTGGCCCTGATGGATAACACTGATCCAGCATGTTCTAACAGCACTATTTTATTAGAGTATTATTTCAATTTTGATATCCAAATTTGGATGTTTATGAATCAATTTGATATTCAATTTTGATGTTTAATCATATTAAACCATACAAATGCAAGCAGAATAATTTTTTTGCCATTTTTGAACTTCATCATCCTATGCTTAATATAGTCACACTGTCACATGCTGTCATCTTAGTGGCAACAAACAAACATGGAGGATAGGTATCCAGTATTTTGAAGGGGAATGCCCCCCCCCCCCCCCCCCGGAGGTGGACATAGATTGTATTTGCTTGTTGTTTAATGCCGCACTCAGCAATATTGCAGCTATGACAGCAGCCTGTAAATAATCCAATCTGGACCAGACAATCCAGTGAGTTATATTGTGAGCAATGATCCACGCCATCGTGGTACAATGACAGGCTTTCAGCCATGTCACAGATTTTGATCACCGACCCATTTGGTTGCCTCTTACGACCAGCAAAGGTTGCTGGGGACCAATTCGACCCCGCAATCCCCACGGGGTGACCTAGATTGTAGACAAGACTATTACCAGAAGTAGAAGATGATGAGAGTCAGTATGCCAAAGGCACCCGTCATCCTCAGAGACTTGGAGCAGATCTTGTACAGGAGGCAGGCTAGCGGGAGGGGTGTGAAGCCCATGCGGCGTGAGACTTGGTCAGAATGGTCTGTGAAAGCCTGTGAAACAGAATTGTTGTAAAGAACTTGATGTTCCAGTTTTAACATACAGCAAACTGGTCAAACAAGAGTTCTTATGTGGTCTCTCTTAAGCATGTTAAGGGCAAAACAAATCTTTTCAAGAAGCTTAAAATTGTTTCTCTGCCAATAAATATTCTATTCTGATTCAAAAATATTTGTCTTTTATTTCATTTGATGCTTTCAGATAATTAAGTTAGTGACTATGGTTTAACAGTGCTTTGAGAATGGTTTTTAGAAAAATAACTGAAATAAATTGGAAAACCTTATAAATGTTACCGTATTTGACATAATAAGAGCCCAGGGCGCTCTCAAAATTAGAAATAGGGGGCTCTTATTGGAATATTATTTTGGTAAAAAAAAAACAGAGTTGAAAGATAAATTTCGTGGTTTATGCTGACAGCCTGAAATGTTTATGTCAACAGATACGTTTTTCCAAAATTTAATTGCCCATAATTAAGGGTGCATATAACACATGAGTGTATATTATATGCGAATAAATAAATCTTGTGTACATTGATCAATCGGAAGGGGTGCTAATTGTGATTGTTCACTAGCCAATATATTAGCAAATGTCGCTGTGGGTGCTTATTGGAGCGGGGCACTTATTACGTCAAATACGATAATTGTTGATTAAGTGCTCCCTGAAGGCCTGTCCAGATGAAATCTTTCACTATTACCAAGACAAATACTTGCAAGCAGCCTTTTCTTTCATGATAAATACTGTGCTACTCATAATAGTATATTTTGTCTTCCAGAAAATATTCTACTGATGCTTAAGGTTTACACAAGCTTGACATAGTCTTGATTAATATTTTGTTTTATGTATAGTAAGCAATAACCCAGCTGTAATGGCCTGTATACAGTTTATACAATGTAGGAGATAGCATAAACACGCTGCCAGGATACAAGGACACATAATCAGCCAGGGTGCACATGTTCTAGTTGCTCTTCCAATAAGCATGGGGTTGCAGGATCTATTCTGCCCCAGGAGATAAGGTGAAATGGGGTTTATACAGTCTATACAGTGTAGGAGATAGCATAAACACGCTGCCAGGATACAAGGACACATAATCAGCCAGGGTGCACATGTTCTAGTTGCTCTTCCAATAAGCATGGGGTTGCAGGATCTATTCTGCCCCAGGAGATAAGGTGAAATGGGGTTTATACAGTCTATACAGTGTAGGAGATAGCATAAACACGCTGCCAGGATACAAGGACACATAATCAGCCAGGGTGCACATGTTCTAGTTGCTCTTCCAATAAGCATGGGGTTGCAGGATCTATTCTGCCCCAGGAGATAAGGTGAAATGGGGTTTATACAGTCTATACAGTGTAGGAGATAGCATAAACACGCTGCCAGGATACAAGGACACATAATCAGCCAGGGTGCACATATTCTGGTTGCTCTTCCAATAAGCATGGGGTTGCAGGATCTATTCTGCCCCAGGAGATGACTGCCCCAGAAGATGAGGTTGAAAGTCATGTTTAAGGTTATGGCACTTATAAAGCAGCAAGGTACATGGTGACTGCTTGTCTGGATTAATGCTGGTTTTATAGCACTAGCCAATTTATATACCATGCCACAGTTTAACATGGAGACCCCAACCAGACACAGTATGATGGCTCCGAGCTGACCAGTCCTTGTCATATCCCTATTAATGCCGAGCACCAGGAAGGGAAACAACAAGTACCATCTCTTTATGTCTTTTGGTATGATGAGCTCGAGGATTGAACCACCGATCTTCCGCTCTCTGGGCTGGCGTTCCATCAACTAGACCACCGTGCAGTCTCTCAGGACCTCAAGGGAACACCGTGTCTCTTAATGCTTACATGTTTCTGCCTGCTTGTCACCATGTCCTGAACCAGGTTGATTGTAAACTCTTTGTATGCCTGTACAAGGAAGGAAGATGTTAAAGAATGCAAAATAAGGCTTATGGAAAATGTTCCGTCAATATACATTCAGATAATTCACAAAGATAGGTTGGACATGTTACTGCGAGACTTGTCATCATCTTGAATAAAGGCAAAAAATGTGTGTGAAGGTAAGGTAGTTATCAGATTTTCTGAAGTATTTTAACACAACAGAGAAATGTGAAATGACGAACATAAATTATGATTCAACATGTAATTTACATCTTCCCGAGGCAAGGACGTTAACTGACTATAAAAGACCAGTTTCCACCCTTGCTGAACTAGGCTGGAATTTCAAGGCTTGATCAAAGCATCACCAGTGGCTATTACGAGTTATGTCACTTCTATGTCCCTCCTATTGACCAATCAGATTCCATCTCTCATATCACTTGCATTTGCTTCAAACACCCAGTCAAGACGATCTGATCGATAATCAAGATTTTAATTATAATATATTGGGTCTTACCTCGCGAAGTGCATCAAATCATTAAATAGATTTGGAAAATATAACTGGATGTTAATTTCTTCACACGATTTTGATTGGACTATACATAGACTCGTTAGTCCAGCCAAAATATGACTCCATGATTCCAGCCTAGTTCGGCAAGAGTGGAAACTGGACTTTTAAGTCAATTAACTTGCCTCGGGAAGATGATTATTACATTATTGGCAATGAGATATTATAATCTATCAGTCAGGTAAATCCATTATCTCTACATCGTAATAATTAACTGATATTGTCTTTCTCTCTTATTCTCTCTCTTGAGAGAGAGAGAGAGAGAGAGAGAGAAAGAGAGAGAGAGAGAGAGAGAGAGAGAGAGAGAGAGAGAGAGAGAGAGAGAGAGAGAGAGAGAGAGAGTGTGTTAATGGAGATATCAAGTGTCACTGCACACTGCAAAATCATGTTATGATAAAAGTATTAGAAAGGTTATCATAAGACTAACATTAAGTCCCAAACATAATTACACATAATTTAAAATATATAGAGTTACAAAAGAAGTATTCAAATCCAAATGAAGCCCAGATGATACCTTAATTTCAGGCTACAGGTAAAGAAGTCTAGACTTGACAAATCATTCTAGTCTTGAGATGGATTAATTTTTTAATTATTCTCTAGGGTCCGTGAGACTAGGCTATGTATGTGAGAAGATGAACACTGTTAGGAGAGTCATGCTCTTCCAGTCAATTACAATCTCATTAAAATCAGATCTTAGTTCTCGCTACCGCTAAACAAAGATCTGAGGACATCCCATTAGGGGTCACGTCAGAACGACCTTTCATCCGACCAATCAGATCGTCGCGTACCAGATTATGAAAGTGACAGTCGGAATGTGATTTCTAATCATGCAACCTCGAAAACTTTATTCCGAATGATAGTTACGGGTTTAACGACTGAATCCATACAACCTAGCCCATCTATTAGCCATTCCAGAATGTTCTTTTGTTCAGGTTTCAAACTTGTAATCGAGAACTTGTCAAAATATGTTTCAAAGCGTAGTCGCCAATTTAAAATTAGTGCCGTAAAGCATGAGAAAGCTGCCTTCTGATTGGTCATTCCATTGGTCGGTCAAAGTTCGCGCAAGGTCGGTCTGACGTGACCCATAATGGGATGTCCTCAGATCTTTGTTTAGCGGTAGCGAGAACTAAGATCTGATTTTAATGAGATTGAGTCAATTAATACACTGAGAAAAGACCACTAACATCAGAGGAGATCTCATTGAACTTGGTGATGAATGCATGCTTGACCCAGTCCACAACAAACTCAGCCAGGAGGACGAGGACAACATCTGGCAGAATGACCACCAGGTGATCTGTGGAATATCATGTTACCATGGTTACAAGACAAACAACAAAGGACTGTGCTCAAGTGGAATCAAATATACCTAGGATTTGAACGAAAGAGTGAAAGACATGGAGTCCTTGTTATTAACAAAGAACGTCCCTTGATTCAAATAATAAGGCAGGAAACCAAGAGAACCCCCCACACACTTTCCTTATTGGCTGACAATAGGTGTGGTTTGCGTGATTTCGTATTTTTTCAACAGTTGTTTGTGTGTTGATAATTAAATAAGCAATCTGTGTAGTTATTATCGATTATGGAGTTATTTATAAGGTCTGATTTCAAAGTTTTTGCATTTATGGAATTATTAACATTAAAACAAGTGTGGACTCCGATGTTTATGTTTATACTTTCATAAATACAACAAATATGAAAGTCAATTCTTATATGGATGAAACGAATCATGTTGACCGACATTCAGTCACTTTGTGTGATGAGTAATAACCATCACGTTACAGTGCATTATAGTGTTCCTTAACCATTTGTGATTCTAATGATATAAGTTTTATTACAAAATTCATCACATGAAGTTTGCAGTTACCAATTGAAATTACCCTTCTGTTTGGCATCATTTTTTTTAACATTTTCCCTTTCTAAGTCAAGATTACTGTTAATTTTTTTTCAAAAGTACATTAATACAAACATAATGAATGTATGTTACTATTTGCATCTTTCTTCGTGCAAGTTAATACTTTTTTTATAACAAAAAGGGGAAAAAATGTAAAAACAGGCCAAACTGAATTTCTACACAGAGCTATGGGAATTGAATTGCCGCGTGGGCAAGAGGCCACCCTAACTGATAACACAAGAAACAAGGCATCCCATTAACCATGAATCTATATGACCCTTATCAGATTTAGTAGTTCTTTCCTTACTATGAGATTCTCTCTTTTTCATATTCTTACTACGATAGTCCTGTCAATGTTTTTTTGCTTAATGCTGCACCCAGCAATAGTCCTGCTACATGATGGTGGTCTGTAAATAATCTAGTCAGGACCAGACAATCCAGTGACTGACACCATGAGTATTGATCTACGCAACTGGGATACGATGACATACATCATTCAAGTCGGCGAGTCACCCGATCCTGTTAGTTGCCCCTCACTACAATCATGGGACCCATGAACATCCGGGTAGAGAATAGGTCTTCAGCAACCCATGTGCATCATAACAGGCGACTGTGCTTATTGTACGAGGCGACTAACAGGATCAGGTGGTCTGACTCGCGGACTTTGTTGATTCATGTTATTGTATCCCAATGGCATAGATCGATGCTCATGATGTCAATCACTGGTTATCTGACCCAGACTTGATTATTTACTGACTGGAATATTTCTGAGCGTGGCATTAAACAACAAACAAACAACAGACATGGGATGCTGCAGACCAATTCTAACACGAATTCATGGGTAGTACGTCAGCTACAAAAGAACTCACCAGGGTTCCAGGCAAACTCGGCCATGTTCCTGATGAAGACGATGCCTAGCAGTATACAGTAGTGGAACCTCTCTTTCACATCACTGCAGGAGATCTGGAACAGGTTGTTCTTGTCCACACGCTTGAATAGGCTGCCCTTGATCTCCACAAACTGAAAACACATGCATATAGAAGCAAGACTCTAACATGTTATTCTGATGGCTGCAGTTATGCTTATGATAACTGGACACAATTTCATTTTTTTAATCAGAATTCCTCTGTAATATCACAGCAGGGGTCACCAAAAATGGGGGACTGCCGGAGTGCCCCTATCGCATGAGACCAACCCACAGAGGATGCTTTTCTCAAACATGTTCATGTGATAAACCCTTCGAGTGCCTCTTTTTCATGAGATCAACCAATAAAGGCCACTTTCAGTGGGCCTCTATATGGTGAGATCAACCCATGGACTGTAACAGTGGGCCTCTATATGGTGAGATCAACCCATGGACTGAAACAGTGGGCCTCTATATGGTGAGATCAACCCATGGACTGAAACAGTGGGCCTCTATATGGTGAGATCAACCCACAGACTGTAACAGTGGGCCTCTATTTGGTGAGAACCCACAGACTGTAATAATGGGCCTGTATTTAGTGAGATCAACCTACAGACTGTACTAGTGGGCCTCTATTTGATGGTACACCTACATCTGAGGCTGTTCCTACTTACGTTGTTGGACATCATGATGGTGAGCAGTGCCTTGTTGTGGGAGTTGAAGGCAACATTGAGGACCGTGGCCTGGGACAGGATCAGCATCGTGTGCATCACTGCAGCTCAGTTAACAGTAAATAACATAGCAGGCTCTTGTTGTGTAAAGGAGGGGGTGAATTGGTTTAAATGCCACCTAGAACAGAACTTCAGTTATATCATGGCCTGTCCCCTCGATGTGACAGGAAGTGATGCAGTTCTCAGACGTTTACCACTTTTGGTAAACATGCACAGTTAGGGTGCTGACAAACCTACAAACATAATCAGGGTGAACCAGGATTCAATCCTATGATCATAGGATTCTGGTATGCCCAAGGGATGCAACTCTGTACAGCGAATTACGACGCCCTAGATGACTGGGCCCCTTTCACAAAGTCGTAAGACTATGTTAAAGTATGGGAGCTAAGATAGTCATTGTGCAATAATCACTATTTAAAAGAGGGCCCAGGTATGTATGTTGGAACCACACCGATTCTGCCTCAATGACACAGTGGTGTTTCAGAGTTACATCATGAATATTAGTTTGTTTGCTTGTTTGTTTGTTGTTTTAAACCGCACTCAGCAATATTCCAGCTATATGACAGCGGTCAGTAAATAATCGAGTCTGGACCCGACAATCCAGTGATTGACATCATGAGCATCGATCCACGCAATTGGGACGATGACATGCATCAACCAAGTCAGCGAGCCTGACCACCCGATCCCGTTAGTCACCTCTCACGACAAGCATAGTCGACTTTTACAGCAAGCATGGGTTGCTGAAGACCTATTCTACCCCGGATCTTCACCGGTCCATGAATATTAGTGAGAAATTACATCACAACTAGTACCTTTTTTCTTGTTAATGATGTTAATGACAAGACCTGAAAATGTTGGCATTTTCACGTGTGGGGAAACTTGTGCCTGACACTAATGGTATTCTGAAGACAAGTACAATTTCAGTGCCCTTATATGTTATCGTTATTCAGGCCAGTAAACAATTCACGTTAATTTCTCAGAGCTCCAGATAAGCTGCGTATCTGCGTGAAATACACATCAGAAATGCAGAAATACGCAGTAAAATATAATCCAAGCGTATCAAATACGCAACGAACATTACAGATACGCTACAAAAATAAAATTTGTGCGTATCATCAAATTATTGTGAAGTAACCCTGCGTATTCGATTAGCAAATCAGCAACTTATTTTGAAATTATAAACGGGCATTCCGTCAACCTTGCCAAACTCCACGATGACAGTTACATCCTGATCATTTGCCATCACACTTTCGTGTGGGAGTATCGTGGTATTTTTGAGTCTTATAAAGCTCTCGAACCCACACGACACCAGTTTGCAGGGACTACATGAATAGTGTTTTTAAATATTTAACTTAAATACCCACATGTGTAAAAACTAGTGGGTAACAGAAATTTGAATACGCAGATAGAATTACTGATACCCAATGATTTTAAAATGCATGAGTAAAATACCCACAACACCAAAAGCTTATCTGGAGCTCTGTTTCTACTGCTGTACATGTACAATGCACTAAGGTTTGTTTCTTTTCAATAATCCAGAAAAATGATGACAGTCTGTAAATAATGGACCAGACAATCCAATGATCAATATTGTGAACAATGATCCACACAGTTGGGGTATGGTGACAGTCAATCAACCAAGTGACCGAGCCTGACCAACTGATTTGGTTGACTCTTAAGACCAGCTTAGTTGTTTTTGTTGTTTAACGCGGCACTCAGCAATATTCCAGCTGTATGACGGTGGTCTGTAAATAATCGAGTCTGGACCAGACAATCCAGTGATTGACATCATGAGCATCGATCCACGCAATTGGGATACAATGACATGCATCAACCAAGTCAGCAAGCCTGACCACCCGATCCAGTTAGTCTCCTCTTACAACAGAATAGTCACCTGTTACGGCAAGCATGGTTTGCTGAAGACCTATTCTACCCGGATCTTCATGGGTCAAGACCAGCTTAGGTCGCTGAGGCTATTCTAACCCAGAATCCCCACAGCGTTCAATGCACAGTGACTATCCAAGGATACAGACATAGACAATGGCCAGGAGAAGGTGAGGCACGACCCCAACATGTTCCCGCTTCTTGCCCCGGGGCTCCGTGGCCGTCCAAAACAGAGCATCAAGAATATCCTGGCCAAATCCTGAGAACAGTCGGTCACAGACCTGAAAAATATACAAAAAGATATCATTCGTGACCAACTCGTGTTATTCAGGGACAAGCCGAATAGCGACTCATGGCCCTCTCATGGCCATTTTAGCGACCGGGTTCTGTCTTAGCGCAAACGGGCATACCTCAAACAATTGTCAACCTGTTGCCTAATGGTTAACATATATTTCCCCATATATTATATATATTTCAGATGCAATTTAAAGCACATCGGGACATGCGGAATTATACAGTACGATTGAACACATGTAACTGTGTCTTGGGTATATTTTTAGATGCAAGACATATGTGAAATCAAAAATCATTTCTGAGGGATTCTTTGACGAAGAACTTGAAATCACGCGCACATTCTGATTGGTTTGTCGTATTTCCGCACATAACATTCTTCTTGCAGGTTACGGAAAGGGGCGAGTGGTGACGAATGACAAAGATATATAGTTCAAAGACTGTATTTAAAGCTGTACACACAGGAAGTAACATCAGTCTGTTTGGTCTAGTGAGATCAGCTAAAAATCCATATGATAACACTACAATGTACAAAAAATGATGCCAAGTGCTAAATTTGGGCAAGTGGACTCAAACAAGTCATTTGGCATAGACTGTATTATATGTACATTTATTAATATGTATACCATAACAAATATTGAACACTGAGTTCTTAGATGTACAGAAGTAGCTGTTTCAGCCATTGAATCATGCGCTAAACTATCGTACTCAAAAGAAGTTCAGGACCACTTGCTTCCTTCGTATTACTACAGATAATCTATCAGACCATATTATCAATCTTTAAGCTGCAAAATAAAACTTTCTTTCTTGGCCATCTTTATTTTCACAATTATAATGGAGTGCTTACTTTTTCAATTTTCCTTCAAAACATACAAGGGAGGTCAACATTTATAATGCTTATTTTCTTTACTACAATTGAGGATTTTAGGCTTTGATCAAGTTGATAGCACATGACTGTGTGACTAATCCACTAATTGTTTGCAGAATCCAGCGTTCATGAACACTGTAATTAACAGTTTTTTAAGTGATATCCCCCCTTGTTTCAGCCTGACTGTTAATGTTCCATTGGAGAATTATGGTTAGAAGGGGACTACACTCCACGACCTGGCGCCAAGGTCTGCAAATGGTCTAAGATTTGTTCAGACATTGTAATTAGCGACCAGTCTCAATCTGATGACTCGTCTAGGTTTAGTAGGGTAATCATCCAATTTCAGATTGATGTATAAAGTAGAACACGGATATAACGAACTACAAGGGGTCAGAGAAATCAGTTTGTTATATCCGTTGTTCGTTATACACGTTTTCGCTCTGAAACGTCCGCCATCTTGGATAAGACAAAACACAATACACGTAATTGCAGTAATTTTGGAATGTCAAATTCCACTGCAATGTCTTTCTTGGTTTTTATGCCAGCATCAACAGCATTAATAATTCTCAATTTTGTGTCTAAACTGATAGCTTTCCTCTTACTATTGCCCACCATGATAGCATATGCAAGTGAACTGACACTTGGACAAAATCTCGTAAAATTTATATGTTTAATGTTTGTTTTACAGACAAGATTACATGTACAGGTAAGAATAACACAATGCAAATTTAACGAGGTTGATCCGTCACCGCTGATTGTATTGATTCGCCGCTGATTGCGTACAGCCAATTGTCAGTGACACTGTGAGATTTCTCAGTTCGCTATACACGTCACTAAGTAGTGATAGATGGGCTTGTCAGTGATCAGATATCAGTTCGCTGTATCAGTTAGTTCGCTGTAGAGAGTTCGTTATATACGTAAATTTTATATGATATTATATAGGGGATAAATCAGGGATTTTTTAACAGTTTTTTGTATCCGTTTGTTCGCTATATCCGTGTTCGTTATATCCGTGTTCAACTGTACATCATAAAATTTAAGACAAACAAGGTGGGTTTTGGAATGACTTAATTCCAAGTTGCTAGACTGCCAATTAGCCCATGCCTGGTGTCACATATATATGTCTGATATAGCAAGAAATATTTATTAATATGAACATAAATATTGTATACAAGCTCTCACATCCAACATATTGTAGAAGACGTAGAGTTTGATAACGGACTGCCCTCGCACAAGGTGGTACATCATGGACGTGTCGATGTAGTTGATGACGAAGATGCATACGAGGAGAATGATGCCCTTCAAGAGATCACAGATGTGTGCTGACTCCAGGTAGCGCTTAGATCTGTGACAATCATGTGATATTTTCAGAGTATTTTCAGTGCATTTACATTGTGATATACCATACCATGATTTTACACCATAATTAGAATTCATTGTACTTTCATTGCAACTTGTATAAAGAGTATGTATTCAGAGCAACACATCCTTGTTGTCATGGTTAGTACACAAATAAAGACAAAAAAACCGGAATAAATATGACAGAGGCTTCTATCAAATGTAAAAGAGTACCCTTACTAAATACTTTCATGGTCAAATAGGATACCATGCCATTATTATGACTATAATGATAGTTTTTGTAACATTGGTCGGACAATAAGAACTGTCCTCTTATCATTATGATCATTCCTATGGAGATAATCTAGGAGTAGCCTCCTGTATGAGAACTTGATGTCTGTAACTGATTGCTGTGAAGATACCACAAGATGGGATGAATGATCATGATGATGAAGAGTATCAGACAACTCCTATTGCTCTGTAACCCCTTAAGACAACTCACCCTGCTGTGAATATACCACATGGATGTGTGAAGAGGCGCAGCAAGGCCATGAGTATTCTCAGTGGCAGGAATGTGAAGATGAACAGGAATGCGTCCAGGCATTGGAAGAACCCATACATGCAAAACTAAAACATTTCATAGATACACATATACACAAGATAGGAAAACACAGACAAATAAAATTAATATCACCTCATGGTAAAAAAGACTAGTTATCCTTATAAAATAAGTTTTATATATATATATATATATGCATGTATATATAAGATATTTAACTACTTAATCACATAAACATGATAAAATACCTTTTACTGGAAAGATATACATGATACATCATTGATACATATATTTATCACTAATCACTGATACATATATCTATCACCAGTCAGCATCTGTAAGCTGGCACAATCTGAAAAATTTCATCCAATATCTCGCTCAGTGCTAACACACTTTATACAATATCCTATAATTGAAATGATTCACATTACTGGTTCACATTAATGTTAATAAGATACTGCTGTTCCATTTCACCTTCCTGTGTCTCAAATGACAGTATATATGTACAAATCAATAAATAGTAATACCTTTTCCAGTTCTCTGGGAGTTTTCATGAATGTGTAGACTCTTTCTCTACGTTCTGTATACTTAGACTCATCACGCTCTAGAAGGTAGCCTCTCGTCAACTCAGATGTAACATATTTCAAAACAGAGATACCTGCAGATTAAATGAATCCATACAATAACAATAATGCTGTCAAAAGAGAGCAGCATGTGGCTCATAATCAATAAATAATAAATATTATGCAAATTGATTTACGTAACATTGTATTCTCAAAAAGGTTATCGAGGCCAAATGACTGAAATATCATAAGTTATCTTGAATTTAGCTCTGGCACACAATATCCAACACAGGTATGTAAATAGCAAAATCACAAAACTAAGTGAAACAGTGCATGATATCATCAGTTGGCAACTGACAGTCATTTCCACACAGTGGCATGTCATGGCATTTATCATGTTTATACAAAGTACAATATTGGTTGTGTATAATATTACTATTCTGATTAAATCAGCGTTAGAAATTGGCACAAGACCTATGGTCCTTGCAAAACTGCCCAATAGTTAAGGTATCATGAGGACCAGGAGAAATTTGCCATTTTTAAGGGGTTTGCTATATGTTATCATTATGAGGACCAGTGGACTAAAACTGTTATTTTCTACTGCTGACTAAATTCATCAATGGATAAATCTTTTGCTGCAAATCACGCATTTTGTGTCAGTGGTTCAAAAAGGGCCACAAAGGTTTAGATGCCACATACCAGATCGACAACGCCCCCCCCCCCCCCCCCCCCCCCCCCCCCCGAAAACGTGTATGGGGCAATAAACACAAACGTTTTAAAAACAAAAATGTATCGTACAAAAAACAAACGCCGAAGTAAATTACCTGCAGGTTGAGGTGAATGTCCCTCAAATTCTTCTTGCTCACCGCTAGGAGGCGTGTGTTCGTTTTCCTCTGGCATGTTTTAGTCGTCTTTTATGTTACTAAGGAGTAAATGCCTTCACAAAGACATTTGTTATGGTAAAAAAATCAATTAAATGTCAAGTTTTCATTTCGTCCACATAGAGCGGAAGCGGAACATTTTACAACTTAACTGAAGAAGAGCTCTTTCCGATGATCAGAAAAATGGGAGTAACCTCCCTTGAACTTCGTAATCATTAAAACAAACGAAGCTCACATAAAATATCCTAATTGGCATTTGGAATTTGTTTTATCCCATAACATGACTGCAATACACACTTTTGAATTTCACGACATTTACTTTCTTCAGGTGAGTAATGTGAGAAGATGTACAGTAATGGCAGCACATCTGATGGAGTAGAGTTAACATTGAACGATTTACTAATTGAAATTTAGGTATGCCAGGGCAATGTAATCAGAGACCGATTGAGAGATGTAAAAAAAATATGTTAATTATAACTTCTTATTGCAGTGCCATCTTATCCCAAACCGAGACTGAATGACTTTCAACAGTCTGCTGACAGTCTATAACTGGGACCAGAGAGTCTCTGCAGATGGTGTAGACTCTTTTAGGACTCTTACAATATGCTTTTTGATTATATCTATATCCTCAATTTAAACTACAAGCACAAAACCCTTCATTGTAAAATGTCAAAGCTAGCTCCCTTGTAAACAATTTTATATTGCACAAAACAAGTAAACAACCCGCCTGATACAATTTTATTAATTATTCATTTATTTATCAAATGAAATATTTTACGTAATGGTTCCCCGAGTGATAAATTGAGAACACCATAATAAATGGGTTTTAATTGTGTTAAAGTTTAAGTTGTGGATAAGATATTTGATGCATTTCACAAGGCTCTATTTAAAAGCAGAGTGCACCTACGAGGTGTTAGTTTATTTATTTGACTTCGCAAAAGCTTTCAGAGGGGAACTGTTTTTTCTTGTAACTATTTTATTTTCCTGCGTGGTGTTTGTTTTTCTCATGTTGTGTAGTGATGTATATGAAAATGTCTTTACAAACACATCGCGAACTTATATAAATGCAGGAATAAATACAATGCAAGAGTTTATAATGTCACTGAGGTACAGTGTTACATGTGATTGAATCGACCTTGCGGATACAAATTTGTGCGGCTGAGTGATATATTACGAGCGCTTCAGACGGGGCAATTATGCTTGTGTTGCGGTTTGTGGTCAATCAAATGTCAAACCATCAATGGCAAATTGGGGATATATTCGAATAATTTATCTAGACGGTTCTGAGACTAAATGAGATCTCAGTCGGATAATCATTAATGTCTAACAGTTAGACGTAGCAGACAATAACCTTTTGAACCTTCGAAGGGGCCCGAAGGGATTGTCGTTTTACAAAGATTGTTGAGTGAGACAGTTGGGTTTAAGCCACTTTGAACTTTATTCCAATCCAGCCTGTTAGCTTAATGTAGAAGGAAAGCAGGACTGGTCAAAGAAAACGTCAGCTGAATAGAATGTATTCATTTATTTAATATTCAGTTTGCATAATTTAATAAACGCTTCAATTGCGATATTCCTTGGGACTAGGCAAACAGCTGCTTCCTGTGATTAGTGGTGCTATTGGCTGGATGGACTGGGCGGCTGGAGTGTAGGTAATTCCTCACATGGATGCGCGCGTTCGTTATTGGTTGTTTGGTTGTTGTTCAACGGGGGCCTGTACATAACTGATCCTGGACCTGACAGTCCTGTGGTTGATATAATGAGCAAGGATACTTGCCGCCGGGGTACGATGACAAGCAATCAACCAGCGAGCTTGACCACCCGATCCTTGAAGTCGCGTCATACGATGCATATGGTGTATGTGTCTCTGTGTGCTACGTATGTGCTGTGTCTATTCTATGTGTCGCCTCGAGAACAAACGCTGTGTTTGTTCTATGTGTCATCTTGAGAACACGTGCTGTGTGTGTTCTATGTGTCGCCTCGAGAACACACGCTGTGTTTGTTCTATGTGTCATCTTGAGAACACGTGCTGTGTGTGTTCTATGTGTCGCCTCGAGAACACACGCTGTGTATGTTCTATGTGTCATCTTGAGAACACGTGCTGTGTGTATTCTATGTGTCACCTCGAGAACACGTGCTGGGTATGTTCTATGTGTCACCCGAGAACACGTGCTGTGTATGTTCTGTGTGTCACCTATGTGTCATCATGAGCTTCATCCGGGCATGTATGGATCATTGCATGGGTGAATGCTGAGCCTACGTTCAACCTAACTAACTCAAATGGTTACTTTCACACGGTTTCGGGACAACAGCCATCTCTTTTAAGATGATCCATGTAGGTGTCTTGACATTGTGATTCAAAAATTCTATCAAACGCTGAACTGGAGTATTCACCTTCGGCTGTTAGGACAAACGTCATGACGATGTAGGCGTGTTGACATTGACTTGTAACGTGGTACCTGTACGTTTGTTGTTTGGCTATATATTGAACATATTCAGTTTGGAATCAGGCTGGTTAAAAACAGGTTTTTTTTAGAACTGGGTCGCGGAAGGTAAGTAAAACATGTTGATACTAAAAAACCCACTTGTAGTTAGAACAGGGATAATTGTTACATGCGTAGTGAGTGAGTGAGTTTCGTTTAATGTCACGATTTTATCAACCACATAACGACGATGATATCACCCATTCATGTACTTCTCAGTTTTAGCAGCCATTGTGAACACCCGATCCTCTCTTCAGTCGGGGAGCGGTGGCGTAGACTAGCAGGTAAAGCGTCAGGTCGTCCCGCCGAAGACCCGGGTTCGATTCCCAACATGAGTACAATGCGTGAAGCCAATTACTTGTATCCCACGCCATGTGCTGCAATATTTGCTGAAAGTGGCGTAAAATCACTCTCAGCCAGCTCTCACGACAAGGTGAGGTGAAATGGGGTTTAACGTCGCGTCCAAGATTATTGCACTTATATAGCGACGTGAAAGTACGTGTGTGTGTTTGTGTGGCTGCTTGTACTAGTCCGGACTGGTGCCGATTTATAGTGCTAGCTAACTGAGATACCATGCCGCAGTTTAACATGAATACCCCACTCAGACACAGTATACTGACTCCGAGACGACCAGTCCTTGTTTTAGCCCCTTAATGCCGAGCACCAGACAGGGTAACAACAAGTACCATCTTTTAACGTCTTTTGGTATGACGCGGTCGGGGATCGAACCCCGGACCTTCCGCTTTCCGGGTGGACGCTCTACCACTAGACCACAGAGGCGGTCCTCTCACGACAATGTTATACTCATGACCCTGAATGTGATTTGGTGGCTGGAGGATAATACCCACGGTATCTTACCTTGTCCGGGAGCTTGTGTCCAAGTTTACAATAAACGTCCTGGAAATGCCAGGGATGACTTGGAAATAGCGAATGGCGCTAGTGTGTAGGACAGTGGGTAAATTAGACTCGTTATCACACAGGTAACCTTTCAAATAATTGTTTTGGTACATGCGGCATTTAAATGGTAAACAAACCTACAACGTATTAATTCAGACATGTAGACACGATTCACATCAGTGACAGACTGCATCTAATATTGTAAAGGAATCTGTACTGAAACTGAATCTATATTGGAGTTTAACGTCGTTTAATGTGAGGCTGCGCGTACTAGTACGTGGTTATGTCGTTTTTAAATGCCAGCCCAAAGAGATACCACGCCGCAGTTTAACATGAATACCTCACTTAGACACAGTATACTGACTCCGAGCCGACCAGTTCTTGTTTTAGCCATCTTTTAACGTCTTTTGGTATGACGATACCGGGGATCGAACCGCCAACATTCCGCCATCAGATGAGTTGCTTTATCCACTGGACCATGGAGGTGGTCAATATTGAAATGGGTGACATTAGTGATGTGATTATTACATTCTATAATTATAGAGTATCCACGTAGCTGTATCAAATGACTGTTATTTATAAAACAAACAAACAAGTAAAGCTTCGTTTTTGAGCACACACGACTCTGCACCCACAATCCTGTACACGTTGTCCTAGTTACAATGAAATATACCATAGTCATAATAATTACAATAGTTATACATTACTTGAACGGACGTGACTAAACACAAGGTTATAACCTCCTACCCCCGCCCCAGCTGAGCCGACTGAGGAGCAGTATTGGCCATAAAGAAGTAATATAGTTATTTAAACATGATGACGTTGAAATAATGGACCATTTCCGGCCTCAGATCAAACCGTCCAGAGTCGGATTCTAAGCCTAACAACGTATCAAACTGCTATCCTTGCCAAGGGGGAAATGTCAAAGGTTGAGGTTGGAAAAGCAGTGGGATGTATGTTGGAAATATCACTGGCCATTATGTGCACTGGAAAGAAGGCATATGGTCGCTGGGTCTGAAATGTGGTCTTTGAACAAGTGAGTGAGTGAGTGAGTGAGTGAGTTGGGTTTAACGCCGCTTTTAACAGTATTCCAGTTATATCGCGGCGTGTCAGCTTACTGTGGGAGGAAAGCCCGAAGTGATGCAGGTCCCAGACGTTTACCACTTCGGTGAAACCCACGAGCACGGGTATTGTGCTGACAAACCTAGAAACATAATCGGGGCGAACCGGGATTCGAACCCAAAATCATAGGTTTCTGGCGTGCCCAAGGGACGCAACTCTGCACAGCGAATCGCGGCGCCTTAGACGACTGGGCCACCCGTGCCCCCTCTTTGAACAAGAAAATGAAACCGAAAACCAAAATACAAACAAGGAATATCAGGAAAGTTAAATTGTGTAAATTGTGAATTCTGGCCTGATTGAACTAGCTTATGAGATGAATGTAATATATGCCGTTACCGTTTGTAAGTTGAAGTAAGTGCAGCTGCCGCCTCTTTAGATCATCTGGATGATAAATGTCAGCTCTGGACCATTACATAGTGAAGCGATATCGGTATTACTGAATAATGCCACCCTGGGTCAACATGGATACGGAAGCTGAGGCCGGTCAACTGATGGAAAGCACGTTCGGTGCATTGTGGAGCGATAATGCATCCATACATCTTGGATGTCGGAGTCGATAAGATCCTGTGTGCAACTGGAGTCAGCTATATTGCGGTACTCAGCGTGTGCCTACAGATCTCCATATCAATTACTAGTTGTTTTGAGGCTACCACGTGT